GTTTGCCATTAAAATTATGCAGTAGTTCTCTGGATCACCCTATATAAGGGTTAATGATTGCTTGTAAATGGATACATATCATGTTTCTCCAATAGAAAATTCTAAGAATAATTCGAAAATAAACACAAATAAAATTAAAATTTTTGCATTATTTTATTGGTCCATTGTCAACTTTCGTCTGTTGATATTTAAAGACAGAAAACAATGTTTAAAATTAACTGCCAAAATTTGAATAGATGAAATAGATGTAATTGCATATCTAACATCATATTTTAAAAATCACTCAAATAAGTAAAAATTTTTCTTAGTTTAAGCACTTTTTAAATGAAAGAATCCTTTTGTATATTTTCAGTTAAAAATATCTTTTAAATAGTAATACATTTCAGATATTTAGTCAATTATTCTGCTAAATAGCAGCCCACGTCAAACAGCAAACGTATACAAGGTAAAACATTTCGTTGAATGCTTTCTGAAAAACATTATTTGATTTATAGTTGTTGAATTTGTCTTCCAGGTGGTTCTATAGGTATATGCTACATGTCAAAAGTTATATATGTATTAATTTTTTGACATTCATTGGAATACATTGTATTTTTGTGGTTAAGGGTTAAGGACTTGTGTTTTAACAAAGTGGCAATTAGAACTTCCGAAAAACGATTTCAATAAAAGAAAAATTTACTAATAACTTTGTTTTTTTTTTATACAGTGTTAGGTATTTTTGCTTATTAATATTAATATCTCATAAAAACCGACCTTATGTAACAGTGGCATTGCAAATAATATGAATCACTCGCGCAGTGCTGCTCCAAAATTTTAAGTGTCAAATGAAATTTACATTTTTTCGTAGTGAGTCAGAAGTGTTGTGACACTTAGATGGCACCAAAAAAAACAATATACATATATTTTTTTTGTTCGACAACAAGGATATATTTTATCAAAACAAGTGATTATTAATAGACATTTACAAATTTGTCTCTTTTAGCTGGAAATGTTTTTGTTATTGATGCATGACGTCATAAACCAAAGTAACCTTCGTATATATTTAACCTATAGAGCAGCTCCGAAATATCCACCTCAAAAAAAATTAATTAGATATGTGCGTAAAGTAAACAAACCGAAATTTGTATATTCTGTGTAAAAAGAAATTTTTCACTTCATTAAGATCGCTATCGTGTAGTCCAATTAAGCGGAACCACGCCAAAACGCCCAGCGCCGCCGCCACAACCGTACTTACCGTACGCGAATGCATTCCATGCTCCCGCCACCCCCAGCAACTGTTAAGAATGCATCTAGATAACCCGAATCGGCAGCGAAGGGCAGCCCATACGCATGAAATCCGAAATTTGCATGAAATTTGTGTGTCCGCGTCAACCGCCGCGGCCGGGGGCGGGGGCGGGGGCGCGGTCCCCACTTCGTTGTCCTAGTCTACGAGTGCAGAAAAGGACGGAAAGACTGCATCTATCGTATCTATTTGGCCCTAGTGCGATCCCATAATAGACACCTTACCCCGCGACTCGCTACTTGCCCCCACCCATCGAGCCGCGATGGTCTCCCGCACCCCCGCTTGTTGCGTGTGTCTGATATCCAACCCCCACTAAACGTGGGGTTTCGATAAACATTTTTCAGAATTCGTGCGGGCGTTTTGACGAAAAGTCGTGTCTGTGCGTGAAAAAAGTGCGCGCAGTGCGTGTGCATTCGAACGTCATCATCGCATTTCGTATCATTTCACTATAGTTTGGCCCGCTGCAACGTCATTATAACTGCTCAATAGTTCTTAAACTGACTTTGGTTCGCATTATGCCACATATTCGCGCTGCAGTGCCTCTAGGACTAAAGTAGGACTTGTGCGATTTTCGGTGATTCCCTTGCGTAAGTCACCCTATTTTTCATTTTTTATTCGCCGAAGAGACACTATTCTTAGACAGGAATTCGACGGGCCATCTTGAGCGGTCCATTTTTAAATTTCTCAAGAAACCGTGTTTGTAGCGCGAATGTTTCTTTGGCGGGTGCGTATTATAAACAAGGGTTAGGCGGGGTAGGAAGCGCTAGGCCAATGGAAATGCTGTCCGCGTACGGGACGGGGTGAATTCGTGCTAAACGCAAAACTAGCTTTTAGTTCGACGTCACCAGTGTTGATGTGAGGGTTGTGTTTTGCCAGGTTGGATTTTGTGCTTGCGTAATTATTGCTTTTCCCTTCACTTTGCCACCCCTGCAGCGAATTTTTTGTCTGTGGCGCACCTGGAGTTTGATTACTTTGAATGCGTGCGCGCCGAACACCACCGATCCGAGCGTAAAACATTTTTTGTTTGTTGCAAATCACACGGAAATTTACCATTGCATGCCTAATTCGGAAATATCGGAAAATCTACACCCATTATTTTCATTATTCGCATGCGATGCACTATTTTTAGCTTTGCAAATTATTTCAAATCTAACTATTTCAAAATTACCACCTATACGTTGCGTTTCGGTGCCAAATTATTATTATTGTCCACTACAACTATTTTTTTCTTACATGAATTTCCAAGAGAACCTGTTTGTGTTTTCGATAAATTTTAATTACCTCGACTAGGTTTTTACTGCGACTACTAAATTTTGATTAGTAATTGCAACTTTGTGATAATGTTTTCCAAAGTCAAATTGTAGTCTCGCACTTTGTAGCACGACTGTTGTTGCTTTCAAATCTAACAAAATTTGTGGTGAAATTAGAGTTCTACTCGAATTAAAATACACTTGCTTTGATTTTAATTGAATAAATACAATAGGTTTAAAGCACTAATCATCCAAATACATGTTACATATACAGATGGAATATATTTACAGCAACAACTTTACTGTATGTATTCGTCTGGATGTTCTAACTTTTTAAATAATTAAATAATAAATTAAGGCTTATTGCTAAGTCACTGGCAAGAATCGATGGATAATAATATTAATCACATTCATTTACTCTCTTTACTATAATGGCTATAATATTATATGAATATATATAAATAAAATTTCATAAAAAAAATATTTGCTGTAATTGTAAAAATTTTGAAATAAAAAAGTTTTAATTTAATCATGAATACATTGTCTTATGACACCATCAATTAATAAATTTGATAAATGGTTAAAATTAAATTAAGTACATCTTATTAAAAAATTTGTTTTTTATATTTGATTGATTCTAAACAATACTTTCTTTAAAATTTACCAGGCCCGTTTTCACAAAATTCAAATTTCTTTTTTTACGTCAAAATACAGTCAAATTCATGACATACTTCATTAAAAACACAAGTGCTCTAGTTTTCTCAAAATATAATAAAATAAAAACTAAGGTCTAGCTTAGATTTGAGATAACTATGCTAATTTAATAAATTAAGTAATAATTAAACACATCAAATAAATACAATACTACTAGAACGCACGCTAGGTGTATGTACAGTTCTGTGCAATAAAGTTGCGACACTGGGACTTAAATCATGTAAATCGGACATATATTATCCATAAGCATGAGTTTGACAAACAAAGAAACAATCCTAATGATAATAAATATATCGGCAAAATCAGACACGTGTATGTTCCACATCATTGTATGTACATCAATTAACACTGTTAATTCTACTACTTTTCTTTTATCTGTTTGGCTCGAGCAATTTCCAATTAAACAACAGACTAAAAATTTATTCAAGTCACGGTATTTGCGAGAATCAATAAATAAAAAGAAGAATTATAATGGTTTGCTTTTACTTGATTACAGCGATTGTACTTAATAATATAGAGCGTTCTAATTACATTAATAATGCTAACGCAAAATTTTGGTTTGTGCTGGCAACCACATATAAAACAAATTAATAAAGGTAACCTTCACAAAGTAGGTTTTATAAGTGAATGTTCGTCAATACGTTTATTTATTATTGCTTGAAAATTGATTGGAATACCAAAAACGATAACAGGTAAAAAAGAGAGCTGAATTCAAGGGTAGATCAAGTGGATTGTTGTTTTTAAAAGTCTAAAAATATAATACACTGCTGAAATTCGTTAAAACTGTAGCAGACACTTTAATCAGAATTGTTTTTACTACATGGTTGTTCAAAATTTATGGAATAATTTGTCGTACTTGAATTCTCAAGATGCCAATGAAAGTAGAAAAAAAGTGGAATTCTTGCCTACGAAGTATCGATTAAGTGACAATTTTTACACTGTACCTCAATAGTATTGTTTGGTATTTGTTATATTTTGTCGGCTTAAACATAAAATCTATAATTTTGTGTTAACATAAACGAAAAATGTTGCGCATTTTAATTGTGTCAAATAATAACAATCAAATTAAAATATTAAAGTTCGTAGAAATCACTAAACAATCAATTTTTCAATTGACTAATTTATTCACAGTACACATTAAAATCTGAATTTGTATTTATTCATGTTAAATGATTAGCAAATTATTTACTTTTATATGAACTTTGCCACTTAGTTGTGTCTTAGATTATAGCAATGCGTGATACTTTTTTCACCATTTATATATTTATTATTAATCCGAAAACACTATGTTCCCTTTCCCTGACTGATTTTGTATGTTAAAAAAATATTTTATCGACTGTTGTAGGTCGTTACCGTAGCGTGTCTCACAAATGAAAATTTTAGTTGAAACACGTAATTGTGATATTGTTTGAATACCACTTATATTGATTTTATTAGAAGAAGTACTACGCTACATTTACACTCTGCCTCTAAAGTAGTGGATGTTTCATCTAATTAATTCATTAGCGTTAGGTTTACCACGACGTGTAGACTGTGTTTTTACTCATGTGTAACTTGCTACTGAATTCACGAAACCTGATAAATGAGAGATTAGCTACAGTTATCACTTTCCGAATGCTAGTTTCGCCGCAAATTTTACCACTTTTATGAATGAAAGATAACTAAAAATACTCAACACGCAAAGATAAAAATAAAAATAACTCAGATCTTGGTTGTAATTTTTCGATTTTTTAATTTGTCGTTTTCTTTTTCAGTCGCTTGAGAGGCAAACTTGTCTCCGCGAAAATGTGTGCAGCCCAGCAATACTGCCTCAGGTGGAACAACCACCGTTCGAATTTACTGAACATGTTCGACGAACTCCTCCAGAACCAAATTCTCACAGACGTAACCCTCGTGTGTGAAGGTGGCAGTCCTATAAAATGCCACAAAATGGTGTTAGTAGCCTGCTCTCCTTATTTCCACAACGTCTTCATGGACCTACCGTGCAAGCACCCCGTGGTGGTCCTCAAAGACGTCAAATATAACGAAATAAAAGCGATTTTAGAATACATGTACAGAGGCGAAGTGAACGTAGCCCAAGATCAACTCGCTGCCTTGCTCAAAGTGGCCGAAGCCTTAAAAGTGAAAGGTCTGGTAGAAGAGAATAGGTCCAGTAGTACAAATTTTTGTAATAAAGACGATGAACCAATGGAGCACTCGCCTACAGGAACAATCAATTCGAATTCTAGTATTCAAAATGTCCATAGTAGCAGCAATAACTCGCCCCCGCATTCTACGAACAACCACTACAAAAGTCCTTATAGTAGCATGTACCCGGGAAAACCTGGGAGTGGGGGCAATTCCCGAATGAACCTGCCCATGTGGTCGGTGCCTGGGCTGCCACCAATACCGCCTCATTCTAACACTGTTCCTAATCAAAATCATCCCCATGCTGCCGCAACTGCTGCAGCCGCCATGTTGAGCAGTTGCTACGAAGCCGCAACCGACATGTCTCCATTGAGGAGAAAGAAGTTGTCCAGTCTTCAGATGAATAGAGACACTCCTATTTTGAGGACCGTTCTAGGACAAGGTCAAGCCGATTCATCGCAACCTGTGAGTTTAGTGTGTCATCCGGACAGCCATGATCAACAGTCAAATGGACCGGATCAGGAGCGGATGGATACGGTAAATATTAAAAGAATTTGCCCAAATTGAGTAAATATTAGGACTAATATTGGCCGAGATACTAAAGTTTATCTGTTGGTTAGGCAACAGTCGGAAAACGTTAGCTAAAGTTTGCCATACATGGTCGCATATTTGAGAGACCAGTGATAATATTTAAGACGATTCACATGATGGAGATTGTTTTCAAACACATTAAGGAAAATATCTCTGAGTTCTCGTGATATTTAACTAGTTGTATCTGATTTCAAACTTCCAGATTGCATTAGTGACACTGACTGTTTTTCTTATATGTACTGGAGGTATTGAGTAATCGCAAAAAATAGAGGTCATGGAAACGTACTTAGATGGGTACCACTGACTAACGACCTTTTCTAGAGGGAACCTACGCCCATTAGGTGACTGGTGATGAAATGTCTAGAAAATGTCATTAATCGATGGCACGAGTTTCACGCTGTGTTTGAAAGCTGTAGTTTTTTTTTTCTTTATTTGTAATCACATGGTGTTTTTTCTGTATAACTTTATCCAAAAACATTTAATGTTCATAAGTTAATAGCTTTTGATTGGTAAAGTCAGTTCTAGTTATGTGAATAATTTAATATAAACAGTCAGTTTAACAATAAACTATTAGTGTATAACACCCATTGGCAAAAATTCTTCTTAATACCTTACGCATGGTGTTAAATAAAAACGCCACGTAGTTTGCCAAAGTAAGGGAACTAAAAAAAATTCGAAGATTCTGTTTCTGGTATGAAACTTAATTTAATTCAGTATGTGTTCAAGTTATAGTACTTTGTTAAAATTTCAAAACCCCGTAGTTCTAACAAAACATCTTAAATCAGTTTTTGTGCAGTCATCACTAGAAACTGTTAAACAACAGAACAATTTTTCTGATTCTATGAGATTAGTATTACAGTACAGTTTTTATCTTTCATTAAAAAAAAGGAAATAAGCTAATATCAAGTGCGTTTGAACATTTTTAATATGGCCAATTTTATATCCATAATTTAGTTGTGTTTAGTATCTGTAAAAATGAATATCCTTCAATGTTGTCTAACCTACAGATTAGTCTTAAGCACAGTTTCCACTTAGACGCCAAAAACAAATAATATTTTTCATACACATATTTTATTTACCTTTAAGCAAGTCAAACATGTTTCTATTATCGCATTTATATCAGATGTTGTATTTATAGTAGTGTGGAACATGATCTGGATATTTTTGCTACTACATTTCTTGCCTCTTCCTTGGCAATTATTTCCCGGTTTTGATACTTTCGTAATCGTTTGGCTTTGTATTTACAGTTTTTCCCTGTAGAGCATTACACAATTATAATAATAGTAATATTTATTGAAATTCTCTAAGTTTATCTTTTTGTGTGCAGACATTATTTTTTCAAGACAGTACGCTTAAAAAAGAATGCGAAATCGTTAAAAACTTTATTAAAGCAAGTTTACAATAACCTATTTAGGACTTGCAACTGCTTTTTGTGTAAGCTATAATTAAAAATATTCAGAAGCCCCACGAAAATTACCATTATTTAAGTCGCTTGTGAAAGTCTGAATTTCCCCAACAATGAAGGAGATTATACAAGAATGTTTATTGCTGATCACATGTTACACAACTGTTTTACATACTAAGACCCGTTACTACAAAGCTAAATTTTCCAGCACCTCAAGAACGAGCCTTCAGAAGACGCTCAATCCCCATACACCGACTTCACGGTAATGAACGACGAAGAAGAAAAATCAAAACTGGCAATTCCGTCCTCTTCCCCTCAGTCTTACTCCAACGAAATGCGAGCGGTGTCTTCAGGAATTGCTCCCTACGTCCCAGCGCAGAGACCCGAATGGAAACGCTACAAGCAATACACTCGGGAAGACATTCTTTCGGCTATCAACGCTGTCCGAAACGGAATGTCTGCGCTTCAGGCAGCTCGAAAGTACAAAGTTCCGTCAAGGACTCTCTATGACAAGGTGAAGAAACTGGGTATCACGACGAGTCGGCCCTTCAAGCGGGGCTCCAACGGAAGCCCTGCGTGCTTTCCCTACGCCCTGAGCGGCACGGGTTCCCCTTACAGCGGCCACATGTCGGAGAACGACGACCCTCCTACCAATAATAATACGTCCCTTCTGGAGGCGACCTTCCTTCAGCATGCTTTCGAGGGTCGCGGAGGCGACGACAGGGAGGCTCTGGCGGCCATGGCGGTGGCGGTGGCGGCGCGTGCGGTGGTATCGGGGCAATCCACGAGTCCCCCGAACCCCGGACATGCGAGGAGCCCCAGCCCGAGTCCGACCTTGATGAAGTACATGCGTCAGTGCAGTTTGACGCCGTCGCCGGCACCAGGAAGCGAACACCACTACAGCGAGACGAACGGAAGTTCCGAGAGGGAGCGCGACGACGACGACGATCAGGTGGAGGATTTGTCGGTGAGCAGGAAGCAGGAGTCGCGGGTGATAATGCCGCCGATGAACCAGGTGTCCACGATAATGAAGAAGGAGGAGTTGTTGAAGGACATCATCAAGGAGGAGGCTCGGAGGGAGATAACCGTGGACGAGACGGAATAGCCCTACGCTGAAAGACTGCTGACATAGTTTTAAACCAGTGTTAAGTTTTATGATTATATATTTTATGTATTTTAAGGTTGCATTTGCAAAATGACTGAGTTCAGTGCAATATGTATTATCTGTGGTCACCCCACCGTACTCACTTAGGTTAGGACGATTAGGTATGTTAAGATTTTTTTTATCTCAGAGTGCCTGTTTGTTTATGCCAAGTGCGAGACCAGCTCACATTTCCTACAAGTTCCTTCACGGAATGTAACTCGTAAGACTGATAGGTTATGTCACTTCACTATGAGACTGATATAAGTAGCAAATTGGCGGTCTTTGTGCTTGCACCACGTAACCGGTGTTTGTTGATCTTTACTGATCTTTGAAAAAAGATGTAAATAGTTTTGCTGGGGGGCATTAAGCCTGCTGCAGAGGAGCTGAATGTTGACTTGTTGCGCGTTATCATGATTATTCACTTTGTTTCGGCCCTCTTTAATTAACCGTAAATTAAACATAGTTCGATGTGATTATTGGCTTAAATTACAAATAATTGGTTTTGGGTTTTTGGGCTTGTATCTTACGGAATAGGATAGGTAATGTGTAAGATATTGTTTAAAATGAGAAGAGAGTTTTAGATGAGGGATTACGAGATATCAGTTGTATTGAAATTGTATTTAGTGTACGAGTGTCTTGTGTAGCACTATTGAGTCATTTGAAGCACCTCAAAGGTACATAATAATTGTCAGTGGTAGTTGCACGATGCCATAGGTCCTCAAGATGGCCCTTGTATAGCCATAGCTGTGATTTTCCTAGACTGAACACATCACTAAACAATACACACATCCGTTCTTTGTCGATATGAATTTAGACTGACAGGTCTAGTCACCAGATTCATTGCTGCAGCTCATCGATTTTATTATATTAACCAAAAGTGCAATTCTTGTTGCAACACTGTATTTATTATTAACGATTTACAAGACTGAATTAATGTTATTATTGATTATTTTTCCTACGCGACTATAACACAACAAAATGGACCAATTTTTCAAGTAAAATTGAATTTACACACAATGTGCCTTTTACTCAGTCCAAATCTTACTGAATTACATTCCATTAGTTTTATCGAATTCCGGTTTTAATCATCACACAGGGTTCCCGTCACGTTTTCATTCACACCGATTTACACAGTTTGTCCTGAAGTGAATTTTCGCATAGCACCAATTCCAACTTGAATGTTGTGTTTATTATTTTTGCCATTTTTATTTAAGACTGATTATTATTATTAATATTATTTTGTTAATTGTTTTCCAAAGTATTGATAATTGTTATCAGTTATACGTATACCTTACCTATAGTACTTGTACTACAGATCTCAAATAACTAGAAGCTAATGCTTTATTCAACTACCTCAACATAAACAATTTATTTACATAAGATTACGGCAAGTTGTATATATCAGATTTTATATATTTACATAATATTATATTCTTATTACATCAATACAAGTTGTGTGCTCATATTTTACTTTTTTATATTTGTAGAAGAAATGTACTGTTAATATACATTTTTTGATAATTTAATGATACAATATTATTTTATGTAACGTTATTGTTAGAAATAGTTCTATATTGCACTGCACCTATATGTAATGCATTATTATAAGTAAAATTAAAACATGTATATGATAATTTTGGTCTTTTGATTTATTCATTGACCTCCAATTTATGTGTACTTGTGGAGAGTTGATAGCTAAAAGTTACACAAAAAAGCTTTCCATTTTGACGCACAAATTTTTGGGTTGATAAATATATCAATTATATGCTAAAAATTACTGAAATACAAAGAATATGCATGCCGGTAGATTTATTTGATGAATGACGGACGTATAAACTTTAGTTAATATTTTCAAATTCTTAACCCACTACTACAATAAGTTCAAACAAATTGTTTTCGTATTTAATACAGTTTCAGAGTAGTTAGTTTCGAAAAGCATACGTGTAATAAATTTCCAAAGGGAGGGCAGGAAATGGGAAACCAATATTTTCGTATTCTGTGAGTTATAAAATATCAAGAAAACATGAAATTAGACATTCGTTAAAATGACCGTACTCCAGTGATTGATCTAGTTTTCGCTCGGGAAATAAAAGTTATAAATTAGTACAACTTACACATTTTAGAAAAAACATAGCTAAATTGAAAGCATTCGTTTATTATTAGGAGTAATAAAGGTGGTAAACACTCTACTGATGAACTTATTAATGATGAACTTTAGCTGAGAGCCTGCGTTTATGTATCATGTATTTATTTTTATTTTTAGTCATATATTTCTAATTTCCTATTTATTCTAGCAAGTGTATTCTACTAAACCTTAGTTCTTGTATGCCTTTTTGTATTTTTTCGAAGTTAAGCAGAGAAGATAACATTCAAAACAAACCGAGGTTACGCCAGAAAAAGTGTTTTATTTAACGAAGAATTGGTTTACTTCGATAAGGTTTAGTGTATTTGATTTATGGTAAACTCTCTCTGAATAAACATTTATATTGGCTGTATTTAACGCACAATAGAAACTGCATATAAATTACACGTTCCATACAGAGTTGTAAATTTTTTATTTTCCTTGTCGAGAATGTTGAGAAATAAGACTTATTTTTAACAGACAAAATTTGGACTATTTTATTGCAACGCGTTTTAATATTATATATATATATAGAAGTGCGTTGAAAAATTTCTTATGGAGAAATAAACATCTTTGGTATTTTAGTATTACGTGAGTTAATTATGCCTGAGTACTAATAAACTTGTTGGAGCTCCCGGTTCAAACTTTCATTTTGCTTCTGATATATGGGTTTTTCTAGTCTAAAATTTTAAAACTTGGGAAAGTGTAAAATTACTTCGTTCTTTAAATGTATTCAAGTTGAGTATGCATGCGCCATCTTTACGCATTTACGTAAGCTCATTTAGGATATTTAACCTCTGCTAATGTAATCTGTTCTAAAAACAGTTCTACCATAGATAAAAATATTAGTTATTCTGTTGCAAGTAAAATTATTACTTATGATAAATATTTCTTAATTGTTATTGTAAAAACATTATTGCGACAATTATAAATGTAGAAATTAAACATTTGCTTGAAATGCACCATCTATAGGGCACCACTATAACATACACTTTATTATTACCTAATAAATACAAATATGAAAAATATTGTAGATCAGTTAGTTATTAGTTACGAATTAATTTCTAAACACGGCAATATTAACAAGGAGTAAAGTAAGTCAGAAAACTAGGTTACCAATGTTTGAGTAGACATCAATTTCTCCCAACATTAAGAAGGTGACTAGTTTTCACTGTCATTCACAGATGTCCCATTTCAAGTTTTTTATGACGTCACACATCACCCGATTTTAAAATGACACTTGATTCGCTGATATGTGTATGGTGATGTTTATGTAGTGTTGTGATGTTTCTCATCGGAAATTAATTGCAAATAGAAATTGCGAAAAAAATGGATGAAAACATACCACCCTTCACGGGTGACTTTAATTTAAACGAGTTGTCGGGAATAGACGGTAAGTACAATTATTACTCCTTGCTTAAATTTATTTATTAAATTAAATAAATGCCTCTTTCAGATATTCTGACAAATTGCGAAAGTGAATTGATGAAAAATGAATTATTCTCCGACGATGCTTTACTTTCTCAGTTGGACCCCCTTCTACCAATGGACGATGTGAGCTTCGACTTGAGCAATTTAACTGAAACTACTTTCCTGGATCCTCAAACGTTGTCGCCACTGAAACAAGAGACGCCACCAGTTTATAGTGCTCCCATATCTCCCACATATCAAGCCAACCCATTTTTAAGTAATCAAAGGCCACAACCTTTCGCAACATTGAGCAATCTACCAGGTACACCCACTATCAAAACAGCGCCTGAAGTCCAACATCATGTTCAAAATCCAACCACTGTTATCATTTCACAATCACAACCTCTTGTTTATTCAAGTCTGCCAATACAGCAGAATACTCAACAACAACATATAATTCTACAGTCAAGCACGCCAAAAGAACAGATTCAGAAAACACAACCTGTTATTGTGCAGAATATAAATCAAATTCCTTCTGATAAGATGCAACAGCTTTTACTGCAAGCAAAAATTGTTAAGTCGAACCCTGTGACAGTGAGTCAGCCTACAGTTATGTATACTACAGGTGCAGTGTCTAGTAATTCCTCACAGCCTTCACTGCATACTATTGTGAATAGTGGTACACAGATTTTGACAACTGGAATTCCTTTAGTGTTAGATGCAGATAATAAGGTGGCTATTAACAGGATTCCCCAGGGTAATGGAAAAGAGACAAAAGTTAAAGAGGTAAAGAGAAGTGCTCATAATGCCATTGAAAGAAAATACAGAACCAGTATTAATGACAAGATTGTTGAGTTGAAAAACATCGTTGTTGGTACTGATGCAAAGGTGAGTTTATTCATTTTTTGCTATTTTCATTGTTTTTATTATTCTAACCAACTGTATAAATTTTGTTGTTACTTTTTTTGTAACAGAAAAATATCAAAGAGGAAAAAACACATTGTGTTAAAGAAATGCTGAAAAACGAAATTTTAGGAAATTTCCATCGTAAAAAAAAAACAATGTGAAATTAGATGTTCTTTAACATGACAAATACTAGAGTTTTCAAAAACGTTGCAAAGATCACTATTTTTGTCCGATGCAGTTTTGGTTTCATTGTGATCAATACTTCAAAAATGGTGAGAAAATTCTATGTTTTTCTTACCTGTCTCTTGCAAGTTCAAGGTGTCACGATTCATACGAGTAATAAAAATTGCATCCTTTGATAAATCGATGTATATTTTTTTTACATCTTTGCAACACTTTACGTAATACGTAATAATTTGCTGTTTCTTTAAGATAGGTAGCAACTTTGTTATTCGGGCCGAATTATTGGTTGCCTACCTATCAAGCAATAAAAATACCGAAAAATCTTAGGAATGTTGTGAAACAAAATTGTATGAAAATCATGTATTCAGAAATTGGTCTAAAATTATTTAGATAGAAATTCCCTATCACTTTAGGGCAAACATTTAAACACTCGCGCAGAACTCAAGTTGCTTAAATTCAACGCTTTAAATCGCTAATAATTGTGATTAAAAATCAAGGCGAATTCATAGACCACAAATGAAGGGGTATGTTATTTTATAAAATTACATAGTATTTACTAAGCAAAATGTTCACCTGACGTTATAAAATTATTGGTGACAAATTTAATTAGCGTTTTACACGATGTTCCTAACTTATATACAGTTGCCGCCAAAAAATTTCAGACGTCAATGTCATTCAGTCGTCAGATAGTGTAAAGCAACCTTTAGATGTTTCTAACCTAAATATTTGACAGTCATTTTTAACTTTTACATTTGACACTTACATGAATGTAGCTGTAGCGTAAGCTGGAATTTTGAAAGTTTGACATTCCAGCTGTCCGAAATAATGACAGTAAAGCATAGACTACATTAAAATTTTTGACATGACAGAAAAGTGATGTTTGAAATTTTTTGTCGGAAACTGTACAGGGTCATCATAAATGATTGTAGTCAACTTGGCTTTGAAAACAAATGAATTTTTTGCTGTTGCCGCTTCATAATACGGTTCGAAGTAATTCGAACTATTAATTAAATGTCATGCTCTATTTGAGGTTATTTTCAAAAATAAATAAAACATTCTTTAAATTTAAGTGTTTAGGCCTAACTGCACCGCTTTCACTTAACACTTGGAAGTGTTACGTAAATTCATTTGTGTCCGTGCCCCCGTGCCTCGTGTGTTCGTGCAGTTTATAAAAAAAATATGGAACAACAGAGTGCCGAATAACCAGTTGTACACCGGAGGAGGTATTATGGATTAAGTTTATGAATATGAATTCAAAGCTACCATAGAAAATAAAAAGGACGATGTCATTTACTGGTGCGACAAAAATTCTAAAAAAAAATAGTACGAGAACAAGAAAAATGAAGACCGGAAAACAGCCGCAGACGAAGAGGCCGAAAGAAGAAAGATTGGCAAAGGATCACGTTCAGTATTTGAAACAATGGATCCTTGTTTTGGTTAAGTTACGGACATCACAAATCAAAACACTTGTGAAGACTGGAGAACTGGAGACGTACATTTCACATAGTGGGGACAAAAGTGAAAGCATTAAACCAACAAATAGCCAAGATGGTGCAGAGGAAATCATGTGTGTTTAGGTACAAGATGATATCACAGTCTTGGTTCCAATGTTCAACAGAAAAGCATAGTAGAACAGGGTGGTAGTCAGTGTTCTGTGGTCATGATTTACCAACAACCCCAAAAGAAGTAAGTATACATTTCATTGTTATCTATAGAAAATTTACTGTTTATTTTAAGCACCACTGGCGTGTTACATTCCAAATAATTTTAAAAAGCTGATGGATCAGTAACTTCACACTAAAAATTGGTTTAGTGGAAGAAGAGCAAACGTTATGGAGACTGTTCATGGGAACATAATTTCACAGCAGTGACAGGGTTATGAAGTGGCAAAATAAAAAAACCAATATTTCGGGCAGGAGTTGGTAACTACAAAAGAAGGAACGAGAAATTGAAGAATTTAATTTTAGGAAAAGGGTTTTAAAACCAGACATTGAATTAAATGTACTTACTTCAAATTAAAACATTAAAGAGTCCATTTTCAATTAAATGATGCTCATTTTTAATGTAATGTTAACAATAACATGAGATATTGTTAGTTTATAAATAAATTTTAATATGTTTTTCACTATAAATGAAATCAACAAAAAAAAATAATTTTATTACCAATAAATTTTTACTGTCAAATATTACAATCTGTTTTAAAATGTTGTGTAAAACAACAGCGACAATCACAACTGTTAACACAGGAAACTGTCGTTTCAGAATCCCAAATGTGCACCCAATTCTATTGCGGCTTCCAATGTGTCACTGATAATAGAGCTGTTGTGCTGGAGTAACGGGATATATCAGCAGTGTCAACAAGTATTTTTTTAAGGGATAACTTGTTACTTAGAAATATAATAATATAATAAAATTCTCTTAAAATATTCTATCCAAGAGCACACAACTTTGCAGTTGTGTATTTTCAAACAGATCTTAAACTGAACAATGATTAAAAATAGTACTATCATTTGTAGCTACTGATCATTGTGCCACAATATTTGAAATTTAATCATTTCATCACATATGGCTTGTACATTAATCAAGAGATAATCTTCCTGATTTCTAAAAATTTCTGGATCTTCTCCACCTATAACTTTTACTATTTCATTTTTTGTGTTCTATATTAACAAAAATTCATATACCTGGTAATTTAATTTTTATATGTGCATATGCAGTCCAAGGCGCCAATGAAGTCTGGAAAACGAGCTAGATGAACAACAATCTTTCACATTTGCTTGCTCGTCTACAATTTGAGGCATCACAAAATTTTTTGGTACAGTATAATCACTGCTCTGGGTACTCGGGGAATTCTTCTTTTCAAAAACAAAAGGATTTTCAGCAATCCAAACTCTATAATTTTGCGAATTAACGTAGCCATTTAGATGAAACCATGCTTCATCGGAAAAAAATGACATCCAAAATTCTGTTGTTGTTCATGTTGTTTTGAAACCATTCCCAATATGCAACACGAGGATAATCAGCTGGTTTAAGTTCATGGACTGACGATACTTTATAGGGATGCATATGTAATGTTCTTTTTAAAACTTTCTGACAAGTGGTGTATGGGACACCAGATTGCAAAGACAGTTTACTCAAAGATTTTTTTGGGCTTTGCTCCATTCGTTCCCTCAAATCTTCGACGACCTCTTCACTCACTGGAGGCCTTCCTGGTGACTTGCCTTTAGAAACATTTCCAGTGCTGTTGAATCAGTCAACGATTCTTTTTATGTGTGTCATTAAAGACTGTTCTTCAATGTTTAATTCTGGAAAGTTTGCCAAATACTCATCCTTGCAAGCTTGAACAGAATACACCCATTCCCCGTCCGCATTTAACGTCCCATTTCGATAGTAAGACAACAATAAACGAATTTTGTTCAAGAGTGTACCCCATCTTAACCTAAAACAGATTTATTTGAAATATGAAAACACATTAATTCATTTCTAGTTACCTTAATCGCTGTTTTCAATCGTTGTAGTTTTGATAAAAACTGGTTTAATTCAATTTAATTTATAACAAAGAAGACTGGAACAACAACACAAGTAAACAAGACGTGCGCGGGAAAGTATTATGACATATGACCAGTATGACATTCTTCTGACAGCAAAGTAAAACAAAAATTCCCCATAACTTTAGTGGACTATAATTAATCATTTTTTGAAAGTAAGAAGCGGCACAGCAAAACAATTGCGTCAGCGCCTACTTCGACTACAATCATTTATGATAACCCTGTATATTTAAAATTTGAAATCGGACGGGTAGTTTCGGAGATGATTTTTTTAATAAAAATCAGCACAGACGATAGACAGAAACGGCAAACTTATTGTTTCCGACTTTGTTTACGTTCGGGAAGTAAGAATATACACTATTTTTGTTTTAAGTTTTCAGGGCGATTGGTTTTTGTTATTCTTGCATTTCCATTGTTAACTTTTAGGTGTCACAAAGGTAAGGTTAAATAAGAGTATGTGTACTGAGAAGCACACGGGTACAAAATATTTAACAAATAATGTGCAGTGTACAGTTTTGATTATTTTTATAAAGGCTATGAAGGAATCTTCAACCCCATTAGTGTTATTTTGCCTTTAAAAAAAATTAGTTGTAAATTTTACCTTGAGACTCATTTTGGCATTAGGAAAAATAAAAAAAATCTATATACGTATGTTTTGCATTCTTTTTTCTGATATTGTGTAAAATATTTACCATAACTACACCACGCAAGAATCAATTTTTACTTTTTGACCCGAGTTTGGCGGTACGTGGGTGTATTATTCATTAATCATCCAGATAATAACTCGACTGATCGATGTACTACGGCATTCATCTTTGGTTATATAAAAATCGTGAGTTTGTAAATTATTACGTGGTTATCGTATTTTTTAAGATTTGACTATCGCACTGATAGGTCGTTTCAAAGAGTAAGTGAGTGTAAATCAACGTGAAGATTATTAATATTTACTGTTTTTGTAACCTTTGGAGTTTATATTTTCCTGTATTTAGTAAAGTCAGTTAATCAGTTAATCCTAGACATGTTAAATTGTTTTTTTATGACATTGGCATTATGTTGACCCCACTAATTAAGTGATGTGTGCATGTTTGGTGTATATGTTTTGATATATTTTTCCTGCATTTGAAGTAACTAAGTTATTTGATGTTATTTACTATAATATGCACATTTAAATATGTACAATATTTATATGATACATGATACATATTTATATATTATGCCGACGACTGGCTAAATTAACATTTTCTCGACGTTTCATGTCCTCTAGAGTATGAAAAATAGATATATCGTGTAGATGGCAAAAAGGCTAACCCAGATTTGCCTTATGATCCTTACCAACAATATGATAACGTCACCTTAAAATTTTGTATTTGTGGTTTGTGAGTCCGCTTTGAGTTTTTAACCTGGGCATTCAGATTTTCAAAAAAAAAAATCGAACTTGTGTAAAATATTTTCCACTTAGAAGTTTTGTACTGTGTTTGAAAAAAAAAACAGGCCCTGTTATTTTTTCGAGTATAGCATTATGTGTTATGTATTATATATACATACTATGCGTCAAATTAAATAGTTTTAAACATACTACGATTTGATTTGAAAAATTAATATTTAACGTTCATTTATTTTTGTCTACAACGTTCAACTTTTTTTTAATGTTATCCTATACCGGTGTCTGGAAAATGGCGGATTAACACTCCGCTGCGGTCTTAACAGTCAACTGGTGAGTCTGGGAAAAATAGTAAAAAATTTCTTCTCACATGTTGGTGGAGTTATAATGATTTTAAAATTGGTTTTTTTGTTACATTTAACAACTAAACAACACATTCATTTTCCCAATAACTAGTAATAAAATTTTTAGTTAATAATTCTTTGGCCGATGACCATATTTAATTACCATTTCAGTTAGAATTTACAAAGATATGGTTGTTATGTTAGAAGGTACTAGCTCCGCCCACCCGCCCTCTCTTTTCTTAGAGGATATCTCATTTGTCAAAATCAGTTCTATCTTAGCAAGTACTGATGACTAACTTTTACAAAAAATGATTAAAATTTGAAAACGTTACACCCTTACAATGCATAAGGCAGGAAAGAAAGGAAGGAAGAAAATAAAGTACATAACGTACTGAATAGTTAATCCACCATTTTGCAGACACCCGGTATATTTTTTTAGGGATTCTTGTAGAGATTATTTCTGAATTACTTGTTCATTTACTGTAATATTTCGTGTTAAGAAATTTAATTTTCAAATTTAAATACTTCCGTACCTAACAAAAGTTACAAAAATTGTCAAACTAGCTAACATAACTTTTGGCTTAAAGTTACTAGATTTGAATACGAAAATAATTGTGTTAAAGACACTAAAATTAAGTTAATGTTTACAACAACTTTTTAACAAAATATGACATCAACGTCATACGTCAATGAATTCAGAAACGAATTTTGTAGAGAAAAACAAATGAACGCGACGCATTAATTTTTCAGATTAGGTCGTAGTATATTTAAAACGATCTATTTGATGTACACAAAAAGCTGTACTCGAAAAAATAAAAAACCATGGGCTAGGATTTTTTTCAAACCCACGAATGTATGTTAGGAATATCGTGAAATTAATAAAACGCTAACCAAAGTTTGTATAATTTAAATGCTATTTAAATTTTATAAAACAACATACTCCTGTCCTTGTGGTTTATGAATCCGCCTGGATTTGTTTATACTAAAAATATAAGAGGAACGCAATTGATCGGCCGTATAACTCAGTTGGTTAAGGCGTTAAGGCAACTCGGATCCCGTGGCTGGTTCGATTCCCTCATGGAGCACTTTATTTTTTCTTACAATGTAATTGGTATTATCTATATATTTTTTCTAAAACAATGGATATGTTTGATTGCACTTCAGGGCTGGGGGAAGTTTTGTCTAATAATAACATAAGATCAATTATTATTTTTAATAATATTAATTATAACTTTTAATTCTTATTTTTTTTCATCGTTTCAGTTTTTTATCAAACAAATCTTTTTGCAGCAATTCATGAAATTTCTAATATGTTCTTAAAATTCTCTTGAATTTCATAAAAGCAAATTTCATGCAAATACATATGTAATCTTTAGGTTACCAGATAAATAAGTTGTTTTAATCACGTTTGTGTTCATCAGGTTAATAGATTAATTTATGGACGGTATCTGTCTGCATCTCTTCTCATTTAAACGCAATGATGTTTGTATAACAACAGCTACAACAAGAGTTTTGTTCAGTGAAATGTTATAATTTATTTAATTTCTGGGTGAAGTTTTAACACTGCATTATAATACCCATGTGAAATCGCTGTATAAACAGTCTAAATGACACTTCTAATCTAATCTCTTGATCTAATTTTTGCTATTATTCTTCAGTTAAATAAATCTGGTATATTGAAGAAAACTATCGAGTATATCCGATTCTTACAAAATTCAAACACCAGACTCAAACAAGAAAATATGGCCCTAAAAATGGCCGCACGACAAAATACCCTCAAAGACCTTCTTACAACCGGCAAAAATATCGAGTACGCTCCGCAAGATACACCGCCACATTCAGACGTATCGCTGTCACCTGAGCACTCATTACCCTCGAGCCCGGAGTATTCAACACAGATCAAAGACGACAGTGACGAAGAAAGCATGGGAATTACCAAAGGACTCTTGGATCATACGCGCATTACCTTATGCATGTTCATGTTTGCCGTAATTGCATTCAATCCATTTGGCATCGTTCTAAACCAGATTGCTCCTCCTAGTGATGGCGACGTTGGTTACAGAAGAAATATTTTATCACGTATGTTGTACAAATTCTATTTGGTCATGCTATTTTACCGATGACCTTTTAGTTGGTTTAGGACAGTCCGCAACTTTCGGTTCATCCTTAATGCTGTGGTGCATAAACTTGCTCATTCTTGGGTTTTGTCTAGTAAAAATGTTTGTGTACGGTGACCCAGTTATATCGAGCACTTCAAAGGAATCCCAGAAATTCTGGAGACACAGGGCACAAGCTAATCATTACATTAGAGCGGCCGATAAACTTGAAGCGAAACAGGAGCTTCGTAGGTGTCTGCAAACTTTCGGAATATCATTACCCACGAGCAGGTTCGAACTTGTGTTGTCTCTTTGTTGGCAAGTGTTTCGGCAAGTTATGCATCGATTGTGGATTGGGAGATGGTTATCCAGACACGTCGGAGGATTTTTCGTGGATAGGTAAGTTGATACATAGATAGTGTATTTTTTTCTTGATGAAAAATTTCAGTGTGACACGGTGCGAGGCTCTGACTTCTTGTCGGGAGCTGTCACTAGTTTTTCACGATTTGCACCAGCTCCAGCTGGTGGATGGGCCCGAAGAAACGTGTCATCTCCTCGGTTTAACCACAGCTTTAAGTGCTTTAAACTTATCAGAGGCTGCTAAAGCCAAAATGAAGTCGGTTCAGATGATTGACATTTACATTGGGCTAACTTTAAGAATTAAAGCCTCTTGTTGGAATATTTTGCAAGGGCTGCAGAGATACTATCTGGGCTTAGCTAAATTGGCGTCCACTAATTCTTGCGACCCAATTCCGCCCAGGTTGCACTGGTTATTGACGCCGCATGGTTTTAAGTTCTTTGTTTCCCAGAAGTTCTTATACGACGCCAAGTCCACAAATTTGCCGTTTAGTTGTATCGGCAATGTGTCGGATCCGTTGTCGTTCGCCATGAAGGTTTGCTTTTAATTTATGGTTGTTTTATGTGAAATAAACGAAGTTTTTTTCCAGTCGTATAGAGAACATTTACTTGAAACCGCACTACAAACTTTAACGACTCCGGGTAATAAAAATGACGTTTATGAAGACAAAAAGACGGACATAACGGATGTGTCAACTTACGTTCATTTATTGTACGAGAATGTTACCACCGACGTTCAGACCGTTTTTAATGCCAATCAAATATATAGTGAGTCGTTGGGAAAAATTCCAGTAGCGGTAAACGTTACTTTTTTGTTTTTTTAGGTAATTACGATGAAATTGCTTTTTGGTGGACCTCCGTGGTTGACGCGGCTTGTCATTGGCTGTTAGGTGAAGAAAAACTTGATGATTTATACAAGAAAGTAGAAAACGTGCCAGAGTCTCTGTTGTCTCTTGAAGATCCGCTTCCGAAGGCGATTCTTGCGGCTTATATGGCTAGGAAACATTATCTAACAGTTGGATCGTCTGCACCACAAAAGAAAATTTTAAAACAGTGCGATACTGCCAGTCAGTTGTTAACTGATAGTTTGACGTATTCCAGTTGCAAACCGCAGGATAACCTAGTTTTGGTAAGTTTATGTAACTTGTATAAAGTGTATGTATTTTTTTTTTATAATGTATGAAACGTGTTATGGACAGCAGTGCATTGTAGTTGCATTGCATGTAATTTTATAAGTGCAGTGTCTCTTCAGTGCAACTCTGCTCATAATTTTAACATCACAAATACTGTTAGAGAATTAACACAATATATGGTTTTTTGTTGAAATGTAGAGCAGAAACAAAACCAGTAACAGCCGCTGGAATATAAATTTTGTTTCATTAATATTTTCTCAATACCTGTAGTCGCAACTTTTTTATGAAATAAAATTTGTCACATTCAAAATAGATTTCAAGTAAATTCGCCACTGGCTTATTTTTAGTGTCGTTTAAACAGAGAACTATATATTTAATACCAGTTTTTATGATTGCTTGATATCTACAAGGTCAGTGGTTAGTTTTTCCGTTAATTAATATTGTAAAATTCACTTATTACTAGGTTTGCATGCATACAGAGAAAATAGACTTTTGTAGAATTTTTGTTAATTAGTCAAAGTAAAGTAGGGCACGTGTAGACTGGAGACAGTGCAATGCAATCAAGTTTTTTAGGTAGTAGAAATTAAAATATTTTTGAATATGACCTACTGCGTCAACTCAGTTATTTACATCTGGTTGAAGAAGAGTTAATAGTCTTCGGATGCAACAAGAAAATTGTGAATATAATTGACGATAAATAAGAAATAAAAGTAATAAATACAAATAGTTTTAATAAAAAGTCGCAAAGGAATACCGTGATTTTGTTTTGTCATTGTACTTTCACTTTGGGTTTGATTTCATTTTGCAGCATTTAAAATGTGTTTTGCAAGAGTTAGAATATTTCTGTTCATATAAAAATTTTTTTAAGATTATTCTGTAAGGTTTTTTTTTTCTAAATTTTGCAGTTTGACTCGTCTGAACGTAACCTTTGCTGCTGATTGCGTCTTCTGTGTCTAATGGAAAATTGTAATTAAGTTAGAACAATCATTAAAAGAGGAATCCTGAGCGGGTTGATTCGTGCTTTCGTTTTACAAGTAATATAATAAGACTCACTTCGCTCGCTGTAGTAATTTCGTGCTGCGCCTCACACTTTGTTTTTAGTAGAGTAAAATACACCTGGCTGCGCCTGTGTTTTGTTTTTAGTAGTTTTAGCGGGCAGAAAGAATCTCGAAGACCGACGAGTATTTCGTTTTAAGGAGAAGCATAATACAAAAATAAAATCAGTAAATAATTAATTCATTTAGTTAATAAGCGTAATGATAATAACCGAAACACTGCTGGGAGAGAATTGGACTAAAAAAACGTCGGCGTTTTGAATACTTGCTTTAAATACGCTTCATTTGATAACCATTTTGCCGTTTAATAAGTTTGTTTACACTTTGCCTAATAATACGGTAGATTTAAGAAAAAAGACGACCGAAGTCGCCTTTGTGCGCGAATTGTTTCAATCGCACGGTATATGGTACGAATATAACTCTCTTCATTAAATATCAGTAGTAGAGAAAAGGAGAAATTTCAGTTCCAAACGTTTTTTAAGGATTACTTGGCGTTTCATCACACCATTGTGTGATGCCTCAAAGTAAAACATTTTAAATGTACCACCATTTGATTTGAAAAATTAATGTTTAATTATCAGTGAATTCAGAAAGAGAGTTTTTATAAGAATCTGTAAAAATTTATAGGATGTTATTGATTAAAAAAGAGTTATCTCGATGCTGTACTCTGAAAAGTAAGATCTGATGTTTTTACTTCCCGAGCGTAAGCTAGGGCGAACGGCTAATCTGATGTTTTCTCGACGTTTCATAATCCCAAGAGTATGAAGAACAGGGTCTCCCGTTTCCGTTTGTCACCTGTGTCGATATTTATTAGACAGATAATCTTCGAAACTACTGAACCGATTATTGTCAAATTCTATATGTATTTTAGGAATATCGTGTAGGTAAAACGCTGACCAAAATTTGTCTAATCTTTCCCACCAACAATCTGATGACTTGACCCCAAAATTTTGCATAGTAAATGTTGTTTAAATTTTATAAAATAAAGTACATTTATACTTGTGGTTTATGAATCCATCTTTATTTTTTACCCTGTACATTCTAGATTTTTTTAATCTCCTTTTTGGCAGTGTGTTGGAACACCGCGATTATAAACAACGTACGCTGTGCTTTGTACATTTTGAACGCCGTATTTTTAAATGTTGAAAACCGTACTTTATAAACGACGAAGGTCATAAGTTTAGATAGGACCGCCGGCCGCCGTACTGTGTTGACCGTAGCATTTTTTACTTTATTTTTTCTTATGGATAGTTTGTAAATTCCGAGGGTCATACTTTTGTTTATTTTATTGATCGAGAACGGTTTACTCTATTTCCCCGAAAATTTGAAGATCCAGTACCGTTATTATTAATATTATACTGCACCTATTGAAATTGATGCATCTATTTTTCTAAAATATTGGTAACGTCTATACAACATTTTGTCTTGGAAAAAACTCACTTAAAACACACGCATAGTAGTATGCTTCTCTAGAATCGTCACGACCCCGAAATAGCAGTCAGTCATTTTGATCTGACAATTCGCCTTTCATCAGTCGCGTATCACAAGAGCTTGGAATAGAGCTAAAATCAGAGTGTGCCGTTTTAGTATATTTTTTCGACTTTGCTAAATTCTGCTCAGCGCCTTTGTGTCATTTAGACTCGATTGATAAATTTATGTAATCATTTAATAACGCCATTAATTTAATTAACATAAATGACAGCTGTCTGACGTATGCTGCTGAGTAACGTCTATCCCTTATATTTAAAAGTGGACTGTCTCGGTCGTGACAACTCTACCTGTACATTAACATTCACACATATCTTTTAGCTCATGGAAAAAAACGCAAAATAAAATTTTACAATTTTTCGAAAAAGCTGGGTATGGTGTGGTGTGCTTCAGAGGCGAGAGAAGTTCTTAGACCATTTTTTTCCGAAACGCGCGATATATATTTCACGATGATTAAAGTAAAATAAATCACAAGTAATTGTTTAAAAATTAACCATTTAAACATTTTTTAAATTTTCTTGCTTAAATAGATGAACATTCTGCGGAATCATTTAATATTTTACATAAACTTTCCATTAAAAAGAGTAATTTAAGTGTCAATTTGGAAAAGTCTTGAACGATAATTACAGGGTTTTCATTAATGTTTGATATCTAGTAGGCCGTGAATTTTAAACATCATTTGGTACTTCCTGCGCATCACTGCTCACTGCTTAACCTAAAATTCTAATATGTCCAATGTCAAATTAAAAAGTGAATCATTTGTAGCCAAACTTTGACATCAAACGGCAAATTTCAAATTGAACTTGACAATCTGTCAGTACCACCAACTTACAAACAAAACGCGTTGCCCACTAGATATCAAACATTAATGAAAGTCCTGTACATGAAGTAATGCACAGCGTGATCAACAAGTACTCTTTGAGTTGGCAATAGATTTAAATGATTTTGAGAGAATTTTCTTGCGATGCTATTGCCAAATCTGGCGTTATTTCACTTTTAAGCACCCAAAAAAGTTTAGTTATGACATTTTAATAATAATAATCAATAATAAATTTTGACGTAAATTAAATGTCACTGCCAACCATGTCAGTTTTGACAGGAGGTAAGGTGGAGTTACGGGGCTACCAATTTTAAGTAAAATTCATTGATACCAACTGAAACAGTACTTGTGTTGAAAATTGAATAAGGTATTCCACGCAAAGCTAAAGTAGATGTCGCCATCACCGAAGGGGCACGAATTTGTAACCAAAGGTTGGCAACAGCTAAATTGACATTTGTGTTTTGTGTATTTGTCAGCTGCCTTGGTTAATCAGTCTTTGTACATTTTGTATGATTTGAATAAAAATGTACTGTTAATATATCTATACTAATACATCTGCCGCATATAGAGGGACAACTTTACCACATGAAAGTCACTATATTTGACACTTTTTGGTGATTTTGCCCTTACAGACGTGGCGCCTCTAGCGGTACAAAGTGGCAGTGGAGTACCCTAAGTCGAAATATATTTTTTAAAACCTCCACACAACTCTGTATGTTTGCATAGACCAGGGACAGACTGCATTTGTATAAATACAAAACTCTCACCAACCTAACTGCCGACCGAAGTTGTTAAACGAATTTTTATACAAAAAAAAAAATAAATAAAAATACAGAATCTGGGAAACGATTGTATTCAACTTATATTAAAAAAATTGAAAATGCAGACCCCGGGAGAGTTATCATTGAAACAAATTTTAAACTTCTCAATATGTCCGACTATAATTAAATCAAAAATTGCAGTTGACAGTTAAACATAACATATTATTTGGCTTCAGTGTGTGTTAAAAAAACTAAATCGAACACGGTTGTAAAATATTATTGTTCATTACCTTACCTACATGTGAATACTAAAATTGAGGAATGTTGATTTTACATCAAAGTCGAAGTTACGTACTTTATGTACAACAGCACTACATATTCCTATGAGTAGGTGCAAGACCATTTAGAATATGGGGCAATAACGGCTTGATTTGAATTTTTAGTATGTGTTTGAAAAATTGCGCCAGTTATAGGTTGTTTGCAGTGTGCGAAAATTGTAGTAATGGAAGCGGTGTTAGCACACACGTACTCTTAATCTCATAAATTTAATCTTGAGTTTATCGAGCCGAAATATTGCAAAAATATAATTCCGAGTGTATTTATAGCAACACAAGCCTTTGTTTTTTAAGATTAATTATGTTGTTTATATTTGACTTTGTTTATTATTTGGTTTTTTATTTGAAACTAAATTTTTGTGGGTAATTTAGTTTAATTTTGTCGATGCACAATCAGTGCGGTGTAGTTCATAGGTTTTAAATTTTATGTATTTTAATTAATTTTTTGTGTCGTTTTTCTATAGTTATAAAAATATAGTTCTCTTTATTGTTCAGTTTATAATAATGGATGCCGTAATTGTCTACAAAACTAATAATCTATTGTCCGTTTTTTTTTCAGTTGGCGCAATTACTGGTCTCCGACTGGATTTTAGAAACGCGAACCTCTCTTTGGGAGGACGCTTTTTCGGAATCTTTGCCCCCTGTTCCCGTGCCGAATAATGTTCTCTCAGCATTCCAGAAGGACATATCTTCGTTAAGAACTTTGGCACAACATATTCCCGTAAGTTTGTTATTTTTTCTCCAATGAATATGTTTTATAACTATGTTTTTCTAGACCGCTTTGCCTCGAGTCTTTCTTTATGAGGCAACCGCCAGGTTGATGGCAGGAGCGGCTCCAGGTCGTACCCAGCAGCTCTTGGACCGCAGTTTGCGGCAGCGCCACGCTAGATCGTCTATTATATGTGGCAAAGCCGACAAGAACCAACAAGATGTTGGTGGAGAGCGTCAACATGCAACTGCACTTTACATGGCATGCAAGCACTTACCAGGTCAGTTGATGTCATCGCCCGGCGAAAGAGCGGGGATGCTCGTGGAAGCAGCGAAAACCATGGAAAGAATCGGAGACCGAAAGAAATTACAAGAGTGTTATAAGCTGATGAAGACACTTGGTGCCAATTCCGCCACGAATTAACATAATTAAGTGTTGCGAAGATGTTTCATAATTTTTTATTAAAGACATAAAATGTGATGTTTATGGAGCGAAGTGGTGCTTAGCGATTTCGCTACAGTGATTTTGAGTATAAAACTGGCCGTTTACTTGGCATCGGCTCGTGTGATTACCATTATATTGTGCGAAGAAGCGCTATGTCAAGTTTAATACGTAGTGTAGCTTTACTTAAGGACGATAACATTGAATTTTTGTAGGAATTATTTATTTTGTTCAATTTTCTTTTAATAAAGGAATACTGTTGAAAGTGGGCTGTGACTGCTGAAGTAGCGGATGAGTCGTTTTATGTTCGGAATCCGAGTATTGAGCCTTGCGGCAAAGTGCGTTGTATTTAATCTGAATGGGCCTTAAAAAGCAATCAAGTGTCGTTAGCAGCTGGGGAGGTCGGAATTAAGCGAACGTCGTGTGGTTAATAGGTGCGCACTCGCCTTTCAAACTAGTAAATTTCGGTTCAATTAGGTTGCCATCTTGAGATAAAATGAAACAAGTTGTTTGTAAGACGTTTCGTCGCTTTTGTAAAAAGGTATGTTGGGTTTATTGCAGTTGGAATAAGAAGACATTACGAAAACGGTTAGCTTTCTTGTATTTACCTTTTGGATTTATTTTTCATAAAGTTGGATGGGAGGCGGTTATATCAACCTCTCAAAACCAATAAATGTGTTGACATGACGTCTCAGTAGCAGTGTTTGAACAAGAAACCCTCGATAGATTGCGACGATGGCAAGATATTGCTTGTGGGAGGCGCGGTATAATTTTTGACAAAATTGAACGAAACCTTGCACAAGGGTCATCACGTCAGAGTAATTTGAAAGAAAGAGTGTGAAGCCAATTTAGTCCCTGTTAATACAGATATCATTTTTATTTTACGATTTTTTTTTAATGAGCATCTGCATATATGGTAAAAATTACAAAACATGAATTAACATTCAGTAGCAAATATCTCAGAAGTACGTCGTTTTGTATTTTTTCGCAAATACCACTGTCAAATTAGCAGCTAGAATATTTGTAACTCTAGCTTATTTTCTCATTGGTCTCACCCTTTCACTCATCCGTAGACTATATTAGCTAATTCAGCACTGGACTGATTACGGACCAAGCGACACTAATATCCTCTATTGGAGATCTGTGTGGTTCTTCGCTGTTGTATTTACTTTTGCTCGTCCATTCCGCAACAATTTTATTGTCTTCAGCAGTTTGCTCGGTAGACCATGGTTATTCGCGTAACTCTGCCGTTATCGTCTCTGTTTCACGGTTTCTGGCATCTTAGATAGTGAATCAAGTCACACCGGCCAGCATTTCTCATCTCCTTCACTCCAGTTCGACCGCGCTGTCCCTGGAGAGGGAATGCCGTGGCGGGACAATAACATATTGGTAAGAGTGGAAACATAAGTATAGACCTGATAGCTCAGTTGTTAAAATCCCGCTCTGGCTGTATATTGTTCCTCACTTAACAAAACGTACACTGACACTCTGTGAATAAGGTAAATAAATTCCTTTAGTAATAATTTTCCGTGTTAAATCTTAACAAAATTTCAATTTTTGCGTTGTCTGCTATTATACAGTTTAACTGAGAACCCAAAATATTTAAATTTAGCGAATCATTTGACAAAATTGTCAGAAAGAGTTCCGTCAGAAACATGACATATTATCCCTATATTTTTCGAACAACCTTGTATTGTTGAAGAGGATCGCTTAACATGGTGATCCTGGTGGGAACGCCGTCGCAACCCCACCTTCTTCGCCTTTCGGCTTTAAGGCATTCCCTGAAGGAAGACACCACCATCAAGAAGCTTTTTTCTACCCCCTCGAGTCTAACACCAATGTGGTTAACAGCGAAGGACGGCGCGCATCCAATTTCTAGGTTTTGTCCACCGAGAGAGGATGGATAGCTTGTTAGATGCGAAATAAATTTCGATTTACAAGTCTGTTGGAGTATGTGAAAAAGCGGGTAACTCGTCAACCTCACAACTGCTGAGTTAACTCGCTCTAGATATCACGCTGCCCAAATAGCTCCCTGATCTGTAGATAGAGTTTTTATATTTCCCTGTGCCAGTTTCGTGCACAATTGGTTAATGGAAACCTTACGATCCAGTGTCGCGCTCTTCAATACGACAGGGACTGGTATACTCAGACCAGTACATCGCGGTTTGTGGCCTACAAACAGTAGGATTTTTTGACTTCAAAGATGTGGGGGGCTTTATATTCGGGTCAACCATCTCATAAAAGCGTACACTGTCCCCTTTCGTCTCATACGGGTAAGGCTAACTCGGAACCATCATCCAATTTCTCGGACCATTAGGACATTATTGGCTCGGTAATCAGTAGTGGGAGACCATTCAAGAAGGCTCTGTGGTTCGGGTACCGGTGGGCCTGCCATGATAACCGCGCTTGTCGTCCTCACAACGACCTGGTTTCCTCGTACCTTTAAACACCCCAGGGCCTATCGCCAACCATTTGGTATCAATTGCGGAGAAGCAGTAATAGATAGAACTTGCTAGTCCTGGTTTCTCGATCCCGAAAGGGCCAAGTCAGGGTAGCTGAACTGAGTGTGGATGACACGTGGATCAACATCTATATTAAGCTAGGGCGAGGCTAAAATTAGGGCGAGGCAATAGAATTACAGCAGACAAATCACTATAGTTTTCAAATCTCGAATGTCACTTCATTTTGTGTTCAGGGTCAAACTTACCAATGTATCGTATATTATCACTGGATCTCGTAGAAGCTTGCCTGAAGGCTTTTCATGTTCAGGTTAGTGGTGGGTTTTAAAACATTTCAATGTAAGATACTAAAATATAAACAAATTGTGGCGAAAGACGTACCTATATATTTAAATATGTACGCGCATCACTTAGTCCACATTTTATTCATACAGACAACATGATTGGTTTCACTATGTAGCTAATTTATACATTTCAGATAGTCGACAGACCAATACTGTTCTACTGACAAAAAAAGAGTACGAAAGACACAGTTTAGAAGTCATGTGTTTTTACATGAGCTGAGAAATTTCAGGTAGCATTTTTATAAGAGAGCGTATTATGCTACTTGTTTACTGCTATTTATGCTGACGTTTATTAAAATACGATGGGTACTTCACGCTACTTAATTTTTAGTGAAAGTGATAAGTAGGAAACGCAAGAATTTTTTCTTGCTGTCCCAGATATCATTGTTTGGTGGTTAAAATAGTAAATATAAACCCTGCACTAACGAAGAAGAAGCAGTTCAAAATGTTTTTAAGCCGTCACGTAAGGCATGGAAATTTAAAGACAGGAAAGTGAACTATCTGGTCTTACAATTCCTTCGAATAGATTCAATATTCTTCTTCATGATGAATTTTCTAAACTGATACTACTACCAGTAGATGATAATACACTGAAAAATCGCGAATTAAAGACTAGATGCTGTTAGGTATTTAGAATAAGCAGAATTAACTGCATCAATATTTTCAAAAATTTTATACCAGAAGATGGCAACGGAGTTCATGAAATGCGTCTACAATGTAGTGAAATTTTGAGCGTTACGGAAATAATAAGGTACCTTAGTTGATGCTAGTGCATTGATTGAACTTTCAGAAGATTCTTTTATTCTAATCGTTAGTATTGTCACACTGTTTTTTTGCGAAACTATTTAAAAGGAGAAACTTGTGTCAGTTAAAATTCGGGTTTCCATTTACAGTATAACGTTTACTACCCTTCAATACCGAAAATAAAAAATGGGTCTAAGGTTATTTAGATAGAACTTTCCTCGCCCCTGAGGTACTACAGTTCAACGAATTCCGTTTATTTAAAAATCATAAAATTGTATTTTGTGTGATAATCTCTTTTAATTAAAAAGATATAGATAATAAGAGTCATAGTTTAAGAAAAAAAGCTTCCCTCCATGAGCGCTTGGAATCTACGATCTTCGAGTTACAAGTGAGGGACGGTGGTCTCTGTGCTATTGAGCTGATTTCTCTTCCGCTTATACTAGTATAAAAGGTTATTATTATAATAATATTTGGATTTTCTTGCAAAAATTTGGATGCCCAGGATAAAAAATCAAGACGGATTCATGGACTACATCTATAGGAGTATGCTGTTTGATTCAGTTTAAATAACATTTACTATTAAATATTGTGTCGTGACGTCATCACATTGTTGGTGGGGATGATTAGACACATTTTGGTTAGTGTTTCAGCATCTATACGATATTCTTAAAATACATATAAAACAATCGGTCTAGTAGTTTCGCATATTATTTGTCTAATAAAAATCCACACAAACAGATAGTCGACACAGACGGACACGGAAGATCTAATTTTTCTTACTGTAGGTGTCATGAAAAATCGAGATAACTTGAAAGTAGTCATTCATCGGATTATTATTATTACAATACGTCTTTGGCTTACCCTCGGGAAGTAAAAATCACAAAAATTGTTGATGCATTTCGCCAACAACGGTGGCATTATCTAAACAATATTAATCAGTTTAGTATTATTACTATTGTCAATTAAAATTGTTAATAACAATAATAATGATAATAACTTTGATCATCTGGTTTTATAGTTTACATCATTTGACTCAGCTGCCAGAACAATGATGGCTACAGTGAAAATCGTTTGTGACGTAGTTCTAAAATTTGAGCACGTTTTTGTTATAAAAAAATTAGAAATCTTTAAAACATTTCATCTACTTCGAACCTGAATGCAGTTATTAATGTACACCTACTATAGTCATGTTTTCTCCACAATTTGCTTGATTTAGGTGTTGCAAATTTTCCACGACTAAATTTCGGTTTGTAGTTTATTGGTCCTGCGTCGAAACTATTCTATATTTTTACTAAAATGTTGAAGAGGGGCTATTTTTTTAATTGAATATGCCTATACTCTTTTTTAATTTAGTTGTTAATAATATGCGTCAAAATGACACCATTCTTCAATAACTGGGCACACACATGTCCATTTCTACGAATAGGGTGACTTCTTACGCACAAAAAGAAACAATAAAACGTTGAGTAATCCAAGTCGAGTGAAAATAAATCTGCCGTTTTCTAAGATGAAGAGCGTAATCAGCGACTGAATCCTCTGCATAGTTGGTAAGCTTACGCCTATTTCAAGAAGGAAATTACCTGGCTTCACCAAGGAGTACAATTTACTGCATATTACTAACGTCGCACATTACTGCTACTTCTATGCCGTTTCCAGTTCTCTTCAATACATTTCAACTATTCATACGAATTATGAATTTAATATTAGTTAATGTTAAA